GATTCATATCTCCAACTATTGGCAGAGAATATGCAAAAATGATTCGTGGATGAAACTTTTAGATTTTTTTTCCCTGGTTAACTTCTTTATGAACATTTTTACTTATGTAGTGCGCACACTAAATTCAAAAGATACAATTATTTTGCAACACACAATACTTTATATAAAGAGTACATGAAAAGTACTAATGTACGACTTAAAATATTTCATAGAAATAAACTTGACGTCTCTCGGAAATTATTTAATTACAACAAGACATCAACACTCAAAAATGACACCATTATGTCTTCTCGCACAACAGCACGAGCAACTAATTTTATATTGTCTGGTCGTTTTATTAATATCATTTTCTCAATATTAAATGTCAATTTTGACATACACAAATCGCAATTTACATTCTATGGGCTACGAAGATAAGAGGGTAGCATCTCTAAGTATATATAAAAATTGATATACACAAATCGCAATTTACATTCTGTGGGCTACGAAGATAARAGGGYAGCATCTSTAAGTATATATAAAAAAACTGTAATAGTCACACTCACATATTCTTCAAATAAAAAAAAATAAAAATTAGTAATTGGATGTGTTGATGAATTTGGAGTGCGAGCCTATGAGGTGGGAAGAACTTTGTGCACCTAATGGCCCCAAGTGGGTCTATCATTTGTTGATGAAATGATTAGTTGGGAACTATGAAAATATCGATACACAAAAAAATACAATAAAATTGTAAAATAATCGCAAATCGTTTAAACCTAATTCTCGTTATACGATCTCGATCGACGATGCATGGTACAAGTACAACTTTTGTGAAAGCTTCGGCAAACGCTCTACCTTAAACTTATGAAATATGGAAAGAATTCATAGTTTCATAGTTCTATATATAGAATTCGATCCCTTTCTCTTTAACCATGTTTTCATTATAATTACTTACATTATATACCCAGGCGTTAATGAGTGTTGGTACTTTGATAAGTGATTAATTAGTCACATTAATTACTATCGGCTTAGTGATTAACCCATGTATGTGGTCGCACAATG